CCCCAAAACCCCAAAACCCCAAAACCCCAAATTGGATACTCCAGATTGAACCTTAGTTGTACAAACTTTCGGATAAAACAAATAGAAATCTTGAAAATGATTTGCGGGACGATTTTAATCAAAGAATTAATGCACTTGTTGATTCAAGTTTCTAAAGGGTGCTCTATTGTCAAGTCTCTGTACAAAAAGGTTAGAGCAGCTAGAAAGAAGACATTACCATATATGCATCGTGTTCTTGATCGTAAACCTCGTCTAACTTTCCAGTACACACCTAAAGATCAAGGCAAGTTTACCATTCATGAATAAATTAAGCATGTTGCGAGAATGATTAGAGACATTACCAAGGCTAAATAGTTTTTGCCGCTTGATGAATACTAAAAGTTATTAGCAATACTCTTAAAGTTACTTACCAGATCTTCACTATAACTCAGGAAAATCTTATTAGTGAATGAATCTGAGCATTTTTCTTGAGCTAACACATCAACAGTTTGATTATACGAGCTTATAACTCCAATATTTGAATAGCAATACCAGATGATTATCAAGATCAATACACCCTTAATAATCAAAGCTCCAACATCTACATTCTTAAGTGAGTAGCTATCATTACCAGAATCCTGGTTCAGAATAGCATTGTAGGCGCACAACAGTATGCCACATACAATAAAGAACACTACACTAAAAAAAAGGGTGACTCCAAGAGACCATGAAATATCCACTGAATACTCTACAGTTGTTATAAAATCCTCTCTGTTAAGTCCATATTCACTGTCGCAGTCAGGGTCCCACTCAAAGTACCTATTCACATATAGATTCCAGTAATAATGCCTCTCATCGGCAGCAGGATAGCGTGGCAAGTTCCTTGTGACGTAGCTGACTCCATTATCCTCAAATAATCTATCTTCTCTGACTTTGCCAACGAGCTCGTATCTAGGGTCTGTATAAGAACCGGCTATTCTTGTGGAACAGGTTGAGGAATATCTAGAGGTAAAAGTTAATTCACTTGGGATATAATGACGTGAGAAGTTACTTAATAGTGCCACGAAATATATTTTAAACATTTTATGGTGCTCACAATCAGAGAGGGATTTTAAGATAGAAGTTTAGGGTATTATCGTTTTAGGCTCTGTAAGAGAAATAACTAAAGCGAAAAGTTGGAAAAGCACTGTGGTCTGGAGTTGAGCAGAGTTTTACAACTGCTCATCCCAACTATATCATGGTTTTAAACTCTCATACCTTCTGAGAAGTTTGTACAAGTATCGACCTTTGGATGTACCAACCTCTTCAGGATTAGCACAGACACCCCCTTCGGTCAGCTTCATTCTAACTATTGGAAGACCACCAGCTTTGGAGTAAGAGAAAGCAAGGACTACGCCAGAGTCCAGGTTGAGCTTTGTATAGTGGTCGTCGTTTTCTTGAGGAATTTGGGAGTCGGTGTTGGAAAAGGAACTGGATGTATCAGAGATGATGATGCTGTTTATGGGACAAGGACTACCTTGAGAAACACAGTATTGATCCTTTGGTTCTCCAGATCCACATATTTTATATCCTCCAGGACATTTTGTAACACCGAACATCTTTGTGGGTCTTACAGCTCGGTTAAAAGGATCTCCTTGTCTTTTTGCTCAGATTCTATATGAGTAGAATTTATTAAGAGGCATTGATGCTGTGGAGGAAACGGTTCTACATCCGTCAATTGTTTCATTAACATCACATCTTCCAGTTTGAAGATATGGATAAAAGCCCCAGGCATGACTACAATCACACCCAGTTGATGTTCCAGGCCATCTGTCAATGATCAGATCTTCGTATCCTCCAGGGCATCGGTTCAGTCCTGTCTTGATGTCAACTACATAAATTAGAAAGAATCTTTACCAATAGGTTTGAGACTCCAATTGGTCTTGAAATCATTCAAAGAAGCACTGTATCCAAATACAGCGTCGTAGGCCATCCATACAAATATTAGATTAATAAAGGCTAGGACTAAAATGCAAACATGATAGCCTTGCTGCATTGTCTTCAGGTTGCCTGAACTATCCTCAGGCACAAGAGGCCTTGAGTAAGGGTCATATCGGTCATTCACACGTGTACTTCTCCCATCAGGTTCAAACCCTTGGTCAAGATTCTTAAAGGGTTGGTTCATTTTAGATCAAAATTGTTTTATAAATATTCTCACATCTTGGGGTTTTGGGGTTTTGGGGTTTTGGGGTTTTGGGGTTTTGGGGTTTTGGGG